TTAAACAATTATTTATAAAAACAGTTAAATAAATAATGAGAAATATGATAAATTTTATCTTTAAATTAAAAAAAAAAATCAATAAAAACCAATAAGAATGTAAACAAACATTAAAAAATAAAATTTAATAAAAATAAGAGTAAAAGGATTTAAATAAATATTGAATTAAAATAAATATTTAATAAAAACAAATAAAAATGTGAGATGATGTGAAAAAAAATATTAAAAAAAAAACTTTAATATAATTGAAAGTTTAACAGAAACTACAAATTTAAATTTTGATATAAATGCAGTGGCATATAGCGAGAGAAGACATTGGGATTCAACTCCACTAAAAAATTCTGACCATTTTCAACTAGATATAATGGTTTTGTTTTTTTTAATTTAAAATTTGCAACTTAACTCTAAATTGATGTTCAATATCCTATCTTAAATGAATTTCTGCATACACCACTGTGTTAACATACATATATTTATCTATATATATATATTAACATTTAAAAAGTTATTGAAATAACAAAAAAAAACAGTTTTCAATGGCTCTATATATCAACTTTTAAAGCAAAATCAAATAAAATAAAAGTGTTATAAATAAAATGAAACAAAAAAAAAACAATGATTTTATTCGACTAACTTAAAAAATGTTATATATTGTATATTTTTAATATAAACTAAAAAAATCTCTTAGAGTTATGACAAATAAAAAAACTAAAAAATCAAACAAAAAATAAAAATTTTAAAATGAAAGCAAGAATCACATTTTACTAAAAATAAATTCATTAAATAAAATTCAAATAGACAATTCAATATTCCAAGAATTAAGAAAAATAAATCACTTGTTTTTAATACAAGAAATCATTAATTGCTATAATATTTGCAAAATAAATATAAGGAATAACAAATATGTGAAAACGTTTAATATAATTTTTCGAATTATCATGTAAACAAATATAACTATACTATTCTTAACACCAAGTGAAACAAATAATAATATATAATAATAATAACTAATAATAATAATTAATAATAATAATAATTAATAATAATAATTAATAATAATAATAATAATAATAATAATAATAATCAATAATAATAATAATTAATAATAATAATAATTATTACTAATAATATTTAACTATTAATTATAATAGTAATAATTATTAATAATAATATTTAATGATTAATAATAATAAAAAAATAATAAACAAAATATAAAATACACAACATAAATCACGAATAACAAGCATTTGTCATAATACCAGATATATGTATATAGTATTCCTGTTAATAATGCAAAACACAGTGTGTTTAAAATTAAAAATTTAATAATTTACACTTAATTTCGTATAAAAATTTAATATAAAAACGTATAAAAATTCATTATAACAAAATGCACTGATTGGAATAAATATGTATGTTATATGTTAATATTGCATATAATGCGCTTCAACTTTTACTAAGTTTTTAACAATTAATTTTATTATAAACTTTTTATTTAATTACTAAATATATATATATGTTTCATTTAAATTTTTTTTAGAGTAAATTTTTAATGTATACAAAATTGCGTCATATATATGTATATAAATATATATATTAATTTTGTTTTTTTTAAATGTTTTTTTCTTTTTATTTTGAAAAATTAAAAAAATATTCTAAAGCAAAGATAGTAGAAAAATAGCACAATTTTCAGTTTCACACATTCATATATATATATAATAAACATAGTTAAAGATTATTATTTATTATATATATATGTATATAATATATATTCATATGTAGATCGAAAATAAAAATAAAAAAGTCAAAACAAAAAAGTTAAACTTTTTTTCACTAATTAAGTTTCTTTGCTTTTATATATCGAATTGATATCATTTAGTTAGCATAAAATTGTTATACTTTTATATACATACATAATCTATTTACGCATGTGCATACATTACGTATATTTAAGTAAACAAATGCAACGGTTAAATTTAAAAATTCTTATTTTTGTTTATCTTAATGATTTTTTTTTTCAACTACATTAAAAATACAATTGAGATTTTAAGTCCTTTTTAAGTCTTCGCTGATTGCCAAAATGTTTAATTTTTTTTTTTATATATTTATAATCATTTAAATTTTCTTTTATATTAAGTTTACTTTACACGAATTTTACTTTTGGTTTTAAAGTTTTTTTTAAATAACAGTTAAATTAGTGTAATACTCGTTATAGTAAAAATGTTTAGAAAAATTGGCGTTCTTATTTGAATTATACTTTATTGTAGTAGTTATAATGATTTTTGATTTATTCATTAATTTCTTTTTTAATATATGTACAATTTTGTTCTGTTTGTTCCACTGAGTTTTTGTTTTTTTTTTTTTTTTGACTCAGAAATAAACTAACACTTGCAATTTAGTAAAGTATGAAAAAATTTTTATTTTTATTTTACTAAAATCCCATTTATAAATTATTCAATTAATAAGTTAGTAATGTAAAGTAAGTTAAAACCGATAAGATAAAGATAAAGTAATTATTACTACTAACATTTAAGGTAACTTCAAAACTTTTAATTCAAACAAGCTTTCATCAGATCAACGCCATTACTTCAACTGCATTGCTCTATTTCGCTTGAAACTTAACAAACACAACGCATAAATATTCACTCCTAAAAAGTAGTACTCTGTTTTATATGAAAACATACTACTATATGCAAACAGAGTTCTCAATCATTACATATTCCATAAAGTCTATGTGCTCTTTTGCTGCCAAATTCAAATTCACTCACTCAATATAAATGGTACGTACTTGTGGTACTTGGAATTTTTTCAATACTACTATATTTGTAATTTTTAGTAAAATGCAGCATAATTACATGTACATAATATTATTATTTCAATATATGCAAATGTGTAATGCATATTACAGTATTATAATTTAATTCGCATCAAGTTTTTATCTTTTTTATTGTATTATTTTCTTTATTTTACTTATTTTGTTTATTTTGTTTATTTTGCTTGTTTTGTTTGTTTTGTTTGTTTTGTACGCCACGTAAAAGTTTTTTCTAATTTTTAATTAATTTAATTTTTTATTTATATATTTATGCATGTATGGAATTCAATATGCAAATTCGTTTCTAATATAAAAATTTAGTAATAATGAAAACAGATTGTGTTAAAACGTAATACTTAACTTTACAAAATTTGGTTTTCTTAATCATAATAATAAATTGCTCTCTTTAAACAAAAAGTAAAATGTAAAATGTAAAATGCCCATATTTAGCACAGTTCATTTATAAAATTCTAGTCAAACAATTTAACACCTTGATATATTCATTCTTACTTTAGAAACGTCAATATATTTATGTAATAACAAATTAGAGTTTGAACTACATTCAAAAATATTAAAAAAGAATTTAAAAATTAGTGTTATTTTAGTATTTCAGTATAATTTTTTTTTTTATGTAAAAAGCAACAAAAATTCATAACATTTCTAACATATTGTTCATTTCATAATATTTTTGTTTTGTTCCATTCGATTTTTACCATTTTTTAATATTGTATGAATTGCTTAAATAAATATATATATGTATGTAAAAATATTTTTTTGAAAACCATATTTTGTTTAGAAATAATATTAACAAAATAAAAATATATATATAAAAAAATACATCCAAAAAAAAAGCAAACAAAAATATATGAATAAAAACAAAAACAAAAATTAAATCATTATTCAAAAATATTTAAAAAATAATATAAAAAATAACCAAATCATTAACAATCAATATAATACAATAATTATGTTTAAATCATTTTTATAATCAATCTTAATATAACAAATACAATCTACAGTTTAATGTATAAATATGTTTAATGTATTAATAATAATAATAATAAAAATATTGTTTTTCAATCCATTTTTAAGTATTCAAAACAAAATTTACATTTTTATAACTAAGTTGGTATTTATAATAAAAAAAGTAGTATAAAAATATATATAAAAAAACAGGTAAAAATATTAACAACAATTTTATAATTGCTTAGAATCAAAAACAAACAAACAACAATAGAATTATATTAAATTATTCTTCAAGAACTTTTAATTTAAATAATTTAATTAATAATATTTAAGATACAAGGTTTATAACAGATTTAAGGTTGGGATTTAGAGCATTGAATCAATTTCTTAAATAGTCATAATTTTAAATAATACATAAAAGACTACCCCAATTGCACATTATCAAGAAAATAATTAAGTTTTTAATTAATTTATATTAACCTTAAATTTTGTGTCAATAACAGTAAGTAGAGTAGTACATATGATTTATACGTTTTGATTTCAAAAATGTGTCAGCAACTAAAAAATCCGTTAAATGTTTGTATTAATAAAAATGTACTAAGTCTTTTATATTTGCACTACTAAAGCATATGAGAATTCAAATAGTAATAGAAATTGAAAAGTATGGTTGAACACTATTAAAGCATATGAGATTTGAAATAGTGAAGTTATCAAAAATTTTGTATTAGTAATAAAAATATTAATTACTATTAATATATTAATAGTAAATAAAAATTCATTTTTAGCTGAACACTATTAAAGTAAATTAATATTTGTGCCTGTGTTTCTAAATTAAACTAAACTAAAGAATATGAGAATTAAAATAGTAAAATCATTTGAACATTTTCTTCTACCAATAATAAAAAAAATTCATTAGATATTTGTATAAACATAAAGACAAGTATTATCTTAAACGCGTTAAACGTTTTATAGTTCAATAATACTAAGGAATATAAAAATTATTAATGTAAAAAAAAATTTGTGAATAAACAAACTTTTACTTAACTTAATCATTAAGAGATGTTAATAACAATAATTTATTAATAATAGCTGCTAATATGTACTTTATTCGTGAAATACAATATTCATTTTATTGTTATTAATTTTATTACAATTAGGAATTAGTAATCTGTTTTTGTTTGTTTGTTTTTGTTCTTAAGAATTATATTTTAAGTCTAATTTAAACAAATAAACATACGTTTTTTTAACAATAAAAATAATAAAACTGTAAGTTTTCGTTTTTAATTATATGTTTGATGTGATGCAGTTTGATTACTTTACAAGCACACCGTAGCTGGCGTCTGCACATACCTATATATATACAAACGATAATCCTTGCTAGCTAGTACCACACTGCCATCATCCATTAGGGCTACATCAAAACATTGTGCATGCTTTACTTTCGATTCCAATGCTGATACCAATTGTCCTTCTTGAGTGAAAATAGTCAAGTTGAAGTTGTTGTGATTGTCGGCAATTAAGATTTCGCCGTTTGAATTGATACCTACACCAATGGGATAATTGGTTACACCTTCGCCACCAATTTGACGTAGATATTGTCCTTCATAGTTAAAAACTTTAACACAATGAGCACGATTGTCACTAATAAAGATTTCTTGTTTGTCATTCACAACGACACCATTGGGAAACTCAAGATGTTTACTGCAACCAAATTTATGCAATACATTGCCATTTTGATCAAATATAATGACACGCATCACCTTGCATTCTACAACGATAATACGTCCCTTATTATCAACCGTAACACCGCGTGGATGTTGTAATATATTAGCGCCAAATTTGCGCACAAACTGTCCGTAATGATTATAGATTTGTATCTGGTGTGTAGGTGATCGTTCGGTAACAATAATATCACCAGAAGAGCGCACTACAGCCACACGATTTGGGTAAAGTAGTTGAGAGTCACGTTTGCCGCACTCACCAAATTGAAATTTGAAATGACCCTCTTTATCGAATATCTGTATTCTATGATTGTTTGTATCTGCAACGATGATATCGTTTTGTGCATTGACAGCAACACCACTGGGTTCTGTGAATTGCCCCTGCATAGCTCCAAATTCGCCAAATTTACAGTGGTAAATCATTTTCTGACGTTTAATTTGAGATTTTGGTGGGTAAATAGAAGATGAAAGTAATTTTGATGTCAAGTCCAAAAGCGCATCAGAAGATGCACTACCATTTGTTAAACTTAATGCACTGTTACTACCGACACCTGCGCTAGTCAAAGAATTGAGCAGTTGAGCACTTGAGAATGGATCGCTGCTATTAAACAGGTTGTCATTACCACCATTGCTCCACTTCTCATAGGGATTACCTGATACACCGACAAAAGGGCTAACTGCCGAAGTATTCGAGTTCTGGTACCGTTTGGGCAGAAGATCTTCAAATACACTGCTAGTATTTCCACCACTTCCGGATAAGTGTGGTGTATTCATGCAGCGGGATATAAAATTGCCACTGCCGGTACATACAGAATTATAATTATCTAGTAAATTGACTGCTAAACCTAATCCAGCTGGTAAATGTGATCCCGCAGTACTGCTATTGCTGCTGCTATTCGATGAACTTTGTGTCGGTCGTGCAATTGGTGGTTGTTTTTGTATACTACCATAATTATTCACATCTGTATTCGTGGCCCTTATATAACCAAATATATTGCGTACACCAGTCTGTATTGACTGATAATTAGACATAAATTCTAATTCAAAGGGTAACTGTACGTCTTGAAGGCCGGCATGTAGCTGTAAATCAAGTGTTTTGCGCAAAATAACCATGTCAGCAGCGTTTCCAACTTTAGAAGTACGATCTATAGTGTCACACATTTGCATGGTTTTCTCAACCACATCCTTTGAACGTTCTAACCAAACACTTGATGCACTTATCTTAGCATTGTAGTGAGTTTCAATTTCCTTTAAAACTTCTTGCTTGCGCTCATCAAGCATAGAACGGAAAAATTGATAAGTCTCATTCACATCGTTGTGGGCTTTTTGATATTCGATCTTAATTTTGCCAATATTGCTGTCCCAGTTACTTATTAAAGAAACAATTTCACCAGCTTTACCGCGCATTTCTGCTGCAACAGTTTGAATTACCGACTCAGGTGAGTTTGTGCCATTATTTATACCCACTGTTGAGCAATTTTGATCCTGTATTAATTCAATTTCATGTAAACCAATCGAATGTTCCAAAACAACGCAATCCTTACAAACTAACGTACAACAAGTACGACAAGAGAACTTCAGAAGCTCATGCTTATGGCGATTGCAAAACATTTGGGAGCGTAACGGTGGTAAAAGATTAGCTAAAAAGTCTTCGTTTCGATCAATTGAGCCGTCATTTTCGAGCGAGGTGCTGTTTGTTGTTCCATTATTGAACAACGAGGAGACATTCGATGCTGCATGCGAATTGAGTACAATTTTTGTGAGTTGTGACAATGGTTGTTGTTGTTGTGGCTGCTGTTGTTGTTGTTGTTGCTGTTGCTGCAACTGCTTTTGTATTGGTTGAGAATTTACCTGTTGTTGCTGTTGTTGCGACTGTTGCACTGGTGCCAGTTGCTGTTGCTGTTGTTGCACTGGTGCCAATTGTTGCTGTTGCTGCTGCTGCTGCTGCTGCTGTTGTTGTTGTTGCTGCAACATCATAGTCAATGAACTTGAATACTTGAAGTCAGAAGGAATTTGTTGCGAATTGGGCGCAACTCCTAAGCTTGTACTATTAACTCCAGTTTGGTTTGATGCGACTTCAAAGTTCTTTATGAAGCACACATTATGACCATTGAAGCAGTTCATAAATTCATGTGCCGTAACACAATTAGCACAAAGGTAACTGGAACACTCATAGCATTTAGCCACAGCGTCTGATTGCTTACTTTTGCAAGCTGTGCAACGTGGTATGTTCGTACCATTTGTTGTTGTAATACTGTTTGTCAACAAGCCGTTACAAGGACTACCCTTACCGCTGCCGGTTAAATTACTGCCTATAACACCAGGACCTATATTTGTCTTGCCAATGCTGCCGCTAACACCACTGCTGTTACTGCTTCCACTACTGGAACTAACAGCACTACTAGTACTGCCGCAACCACTTAATCCACTACTTGACGATGAAGAGGATGCTGATGACGACGAAGATACTGAAGCCGATATTGGATGATGCTTATTATTAACGTTACTGCCGTTACTAAATTCGTCACAAATGGCCGAGTCACTTGCTGGTGGCGATGAACCGCTTAATGTGAGTGGTGAGTCAGACAAATAGCCGTTGTGATCGACGTATGATTCAATAGAGTTACTGCCTCGGATAGAGTCCAGAGAAGGGGTGGGAGAAGTAGCCATTTTAACAGGCTACAAAAATGCACGTATACAACACTCTAAAAATAAAATTAAAATGAATATTAGTGTTTTTTTAAAAAATATAAAAATATTTTCAATATATTATTTATAAAAACTGTAAGAAGTTATTTGAAACGAACAAGTAAGTAACAACGACAACTCTTTAATAAATATGTATTTATTTATTATTATTTATTATTTATATAAATATATATATATAAATATATATATATATAAATACATATATATATAAATACATATATATATAAATATATATATATATAAATATATATATTTATTTTATTTTTAATAAATATAATAAATACCAATTAATTAATTAAATTTAATTAATTTTTTTTGATTTTCTAAATAAGTTAAAAGATTAAAGTTGACAATTTTGATATCCTATTTCCTGCATTTTTTTTTTTTTTTGGATATATATACACCACTTCCTAAAGCTAGATATTGTATATATTACTATATCAATATTTATTTTAATACAATATAAAGATACAATATTTTCAACATTGTCTCTGATATAATATTGTAATCTCGAAGTAGATTGTTTAAGGTAATAATATCAGGTAAACAGGCTAAGAAAGTATGGAAGTAAAGAATTTCTTAGTCTGTAAATCTCTAAAATACAAACTAAATTACAACTAAGATTGGTTGGTTAGGTTAACTGGTTGTCTAATGACGACTATTAGTTGATCCATTGCGAAATTATTTCTGTGTAGTTATAGATTATTAAAAACAATTTAAATTTTTGTAATTAATAATAAATAATTAATTGTATAATAAAATAATTTGTGCATTTCTGTTTATTTCTAATAGAAAAAAAAATGAGTTAGATGGCGACAACTGTTCGTCTGTACATGACTGACTATCTAAACTTGAACTGACTCAGGATAATTTCTAGAGTGTGTATGACAAATGGGTTTTCCCCACATAATTATTTAAAGTTTTAAATTTACCCAATAAAAATGTTTATATTGCTATAAAAATGTTTTTTAAGATCAAAATACTTAAAAAAATAAATTATAATAATTATAATATGTAAATTAACTGAAGAGGCATCTCAACAACTGTTAGTAAGAATTGAAGTTAAAAAATTAGCAAAAGATTTATACTTTCGAAAGAGAATTGACCAAATACTGGTCAAAAGAAAAATTAATTTTTTACACATTTCGACTTGATATAATTAAAGTGATTCTTATGAATTTTTTATTTCAACTGATCCATATTTAACCATGGTAAATGAATATCGATCGCACAATTTTCGGTGGTATAAAGTAATTTAGACGCAGACCGTACATAAAAAGAGCATGGCTTAAAATGCCAACATATAAGATACCCACCCGAAGTAATGTGATATCGATTTCGTAGTGGAGGGAATAAGTCTATTCGAAGAGGCAGTGTTTTAGTTCGTAAACTACATATTAAATAAGTTAGGGAGTCGGGCAAACCATTCCGATGACGGATTTATTGGATTGGACTCAAGTTTGTGTGTGCATTGGAGCAGGATAATAGATGGGAAACATTACGAAGGACAGAGTTGCAATTAGGGCATACAATGGGAATAAATACATTTATGCGTACCAAATAACTATTTATCACATGGCTATATCCTGCTAGAAAGTTCTTCTAGGAAATTATTCAGCGAAGTTTCAAGAACGGCCGGTCCACGTTCCGGAATGCACTCGTCAAGTTCGACGACCAAGTGCTATTCAACCCTGCCAAAAGCGTCTACACAATAAACTCTGTTAGAATCTGATGGTTTTTTGTATAGATGGATACTCAATGCTTCAATAGGTTTTTGAGACACAAATTTTCAGTTGTTCTCGAGAGCTTGAATATAGTATTCAATATTTTTCAATATTATGTTTTATTGATTCTTAGTACGTTTTCTCTTCTCTATACTCTCGAAATTTATGAAGACGGTCAATAATCAATTATTGAACTTTTTTATACATAATTTTTTGTATTTGCAACATTTAACTTTTGAAATGTATATTGTTTTGATTTTTTTTAACAACAATTAACTATTTTAAATATATAAATATTTATTTTTGAAATATCAAACTTTCTTAAATAATTTTTTTTATTTTTTGGAATATCTAACTTTTTAAATATATATTTTTTACAATATTTACCATTTTTAAATATATCTTTGGAATTATATATTTTTGGAATATCTAAGTTTTTAAATTTTTTTTGTTTTTCGACAACCAGAAAAGTAAGTATTTATTATCGATAATATATATTACTATTAAAACGACTCGAAATTACTAATAATAGTATAAATAATAATAAATCAAAAATGTGTATTATTATTATTATATTAGTATCTTTTACTTCCAGACATGCCAGCCACAGAAACACTATTTGCGCATTGGGCGCGAGAGGGTCTGCAGAAAACCCACACTTTGGCCATTTGGCGCTTCATTCTTTTGTTGTCTGCGACTGTCAAATTTAATGTTTTACTCTTAGAAGATTTTTTTTATTATTTTTCTTTAATATCAGGATCAATCCAAATATAACTGATATACATATTGACAAATACAAATTCACCTTTTAATGTTATATATTCGATTTATTTGTTTTGTTTTTTTTCTGTTTTTGCAGTCACAAGTACGTCACTTACTTATTGGTTTTCGGTTTTTTTTAATTTTTATGTTTTTTTTATAAAATAATAATTTTAATTTTATAAATTACCTATTCTCTTGACTCTGCTCCTTCGTTGAATTTTTAGTTAGCTTAATTAAGTTAAATATTTCTTTTTGACGTAAATATTTGTATATTTCACTGTTTATTTTGTGGCACTCTACACTCTTGAGTGATTTAAACGTTGAAGCTGCTGCTGAACATTACACATTTTCTCAATACAAATGCACTTAATTTATATTTAATCCTGGAAAAATAACAGAAAGGAATTACTTTAGTTGCGTTTTTGATTCTTGTATATTGATTTACATAAAATAAATTTTTTAAAAGCATATATTTATTATTCACAAGTACGTTAAATTGAATTAAAATAAAATAAAATATTTAATTATTTTTGTAGATTGCAGTACGTACTGCATACATTTTCCCGGGACATTTTGTGCGAGTACACTAAAAGCAGAACAATAAAAGATTTTTTGCTACGGCACTAGCTTTTGTTAGACTAACTATGCGCATTGTGCGCCAACTATATTATAACCAAAGAGACAGAGAAACAATACAGGAATGAATTCTTCAACCCACCGACCATTCAACCGACCGATCAACCGTACAAAGGGTCGACACTACGACCCGGGAAAAAAAAATTTAAACGATATATGCAAAATACTGTTAAGTTTTATTAGCAAAAATGTTAAAATTAACATCTACTTATGTTGCTACTCCTGCAACTACTACTACTGTTGTGGTAACTGCTGGCTGTTGCTGTTGAAGTTGTTACAGGAACGCGAAATGCAACACTGAATCAGCTTTGAATGCAATGTTATCTTAGCAATATCAAATAAAAAATAGCAGCCAATACAATACAAACGAAAATGAACAAAACATATAGTAAATCACCCCTTGTCCTTACCAAAAATATGTACAAACATATTTGCACGTACAACGTCAATGCTTCCTTTAGACAAGTGAGATATGGGGTGGTGTGCACTAGCAGAGATATTCATATTAAATCCCAACTTTAGCAGCTCACATGCAACAGTAAAATAAAAACAATCAAACATAAATCGTCTGTATAAGCGAACATACACATAAACACACAGCACACATATACATATATATAAGTTCCAGGGAAAATCAATAAATTGTTTGAGTTTCATGTATGTACAACGTATCAGCGCAGTACGCAGGCACCCCCAAAACAATCAACACACACATACACTTCCTACCCATATACTTGATATAGCAGCAGAGCTTTTTAAGTTTAGTTGCTGCTTTCAGTTTAAAAAAACAGTTATAAAGAACAACAAAATGAAAAAAAAAAACAAAGAATGAGAAAAAAAAATATCAAACCGAGTAAGCCGAACTGTTGAATGCCGAAACGGTAAATGCATACAAACCGAATACACCCACTCACACAAACAAAGTCACTTCGCCTGCTTGCTATTCAGCAACGAAATAAAAATAATTCAAAACACTCTTCATAGCAACCGCTGCTCAATTGCAAACAAAAGCAAAAGCCGCATAAAAGCAGGGAAGACAGAAAACAGCAGGAAAGACAGAAAGCAGGAAATACACAAAGTGTAAAAACATAAACAGTACACAATTTCAGCAAAAGCATATAAATAAATTGAAAGCTAAATTCTTTACTCCGAGATATAAATTTAAACTAACTACATAAGGTTACAATCGATGTTAAGAGAATGCGCTAATATTACTTTTACATTATAAATTTAAATTAAACAATAACAGCAGAACTCTGCACTGTTATCAAAATTTATTTTTTTTAATGATCCTGATCCTACTGCTTTTTTTTTATAAACAAAAGAACTTATTAATTTAAAACTTCATAGAACTCTTGTCGAAAGTGAAAGTATTTTTCTTTTTCATTTTCATAATTTTAATCATTTTGAAAATTTTTATAATTTTGCAAATTTTTATAATTTTGATCATTTTAAAACTTTTTAAAATTTTGATAATTTGTATAATTTTTCAATTTTAATAATTTTTTTCAATTTTAATAATTTTTTTTAATTTTAAAATAATTCTGTAATAAATAAAAATTTATAATTTATTTATAAATAATTCTATTTATAAATATATGTATATAATTTTACATCAAAATAAATAAAATCAAATATTCAATTGTAGACAATATTGTAAATGATAAGTAAAAGATATAAACAAATTATATATGTACCTATATGCTATATATTTTATACAACTTAAATGTTTCACCATCCATTTGAACTTATTTTTTATACCAAATGATTTCTTCTTTCTACTGCTTATTTCTGCTATACGTATTATTAACATATTAAATTCAGCTTCCTGACTTGTTTATTAAAACATTTATTTATAATTTAATTTTTAATTAAGTAAAAATACGCTGTAATATATAATATTATATTATACAAATATATTTAACGAAAGAAAATATTTTATGAAAAAAAATATTAATTGTTATGTAAAAAAAGTTTTAAATAACAAAATATTATATTTAGAAAATGTACAAAAAATTTTTAAACAAAAAGATTAGTATTATTAAGAAATAATAATTAATGGAAAAGATAATAAATACATAAGTAATGTAAAATAATTGTTTGGTTGTAAAGTATTAGTTCTGTTTGGACCAAATCTTAAATATTTTTAAATTTTAATTTTAACGAAAAGTGAGCCTTCCTATAGCCAGATAAAAAATATATAAAAACTAATATTTAAAAAAAAAGCATATCGATAAATAAATTCAAAATTTAATATTTTTGGACAAGATTAAAAGAATCTAAATTTCTTACTTATGAAAATAATTAAATACTCCTAATATTATTTTAAAATTAATAAATATTATTTGCCAGACTACAAGTATAAAAAATATCAAAATAGTAAAATATTTCCCTTAACAGATTACAACCTTAAGATGAATGAGTTTATTGCTTCGCGTCTCTCCTTTTCTGCCTTTCTGTCTTTCTGTCTTTATAGAAAATTCCGGCAACGAAAATTTTATTCTATGCGAAATATCTGCAGACAAAATGAAACTACAAACAGCCCCCAAGTAAACACACACAACTACACAATTTTTTAATAAAAACAAAATTATTCAGAAATCTCAATGTCTCGAAATGCTACAGGTTGCGCAGTATGATTTCGCGCAGTAATACACAAAATGGCAACGCAACCAACCGTCGCCTGGAAGCCCGAATGTTCTCCACACTTCCTTTTCACTGAGGGCAGTGGCAAAGTAGCTGCGAAATGTAAATCGAATTGGTCCTGTTGCTGCCGCGGTTGGCGCTGTTGCCGTTGCTGGTGCTGCTGTTGCTCCTGTTCTATTACTGCAACAACAAAGTTTAGTGCAATCATTGACTTTTTATGAAAATTTATTCTACATGGGAAAAAAAAGAAAAGAAAAGAAAAAAGGACAAGCAGAGGAAACATTCAAATAGAAGCGATTTAAGATGGGGGAGGTTAAAGCACAGACGACAAAAGTTTCTGAAATTAAGAATTTATGTGTGCTTTGGCTTTTGCATTGAACTTTTCAGGAAAAATGAGAGTATTCCCCTATTAAATTTATTTTTATTGTGTTTATTTAAGAATATATGTAACGGAATATATTGAGAATTAAATACTTGAATAATAACTTCAATCTTATGCATTTGAATAATTGTAATAGTACTTAAATTTTATAGAATTAAGGCCATAAAGAGAAAGATGCAAGCAGAATGTCCACCTCATGTCCTTTTTTATATGCAACAAGAGGACGGACAGACGGGCTTACATAATTATTATTCTAAAATTATATTAAGTAAATTAATTAAATTAATAAAAAAAAACAAATTATTATATATATGTATATTGAAGAACCGCACATACTCCCATAATCACTTAAATAGTGACAAGATTTTGAGCATACAATTTTACGCTTATATGGTGAAATAATATAAAATATATGTTTTAAAAAAAAAAAAAAAATTATTTAAATCAAAATAAAAAAAATATGCATGAATTAAAATAAAAAAAAAAAACAGAAATAAAAAAAATACATATAAATAACAATAAAATACATAAATATAAATAAATATATATAAATATATATGTTGTCTCGTTTTATTAATTTTTAATATTTAAAAAGCTTTTTTTATTTATTTTAATTTTTTTCTTTGTTTAAATTTATTTACTTAAATTTTGAATTCAAAGGTTCAATTTTTCTAAATTTATTTGAAAAATACTCAAGATTATGTAAAATAATGATTATTTTTAATTTTTTTTTATTTAACATTTTCTGTATTTAAAAATTAACTTTACTTTTTTTCCTTTTTCAATTTATTAAAATTTTTAAATGTTATGAAAATTGTATTAATTTTTCATATATTTTATTTTAAAATTTGATCTAATTGGTTAAATTACAACTAACAATATTCAACTTTCCGCCCAACATCTCCGTCCCTAGTACCCTCCACCAGACTTTGTTCAAACCTTGCGTCATAAACCCCCTGAATATCTCTCCCTTTATTTCGATGATTCGGGTTCTAATCGCTCTATCATACCTGGTTTTAAACACGGCTCTCGTGATACTGGTCATAGAGTCTACCGCTAGCCTTACCCCCGCACTTGTGCCATAACTCCACCCACTTCACTAATTCACTTCACTGTCTACCTTCTTCATGCCCATGCTTTATGGCTTAGATAAACCTAGCTTGCTAGGTATTAAGCCTCCTGCTCTCATCTCTTTCCCTTGTTTACGAGAATGAAGTTTTCACATTGCTATGGAAATCTTATCTATTAATTCCTAAAAAGTGATTTCACGGCTTTCGATACTTTCCACCTACCGTGGAAAAAAAAAATTTAACATTTTCAACAATATTATAGATTTCTAAGGATGACCATTGAATAAAAAAAAAAGTTATGTTTATGCAAAAATAAAAGCTAACATTTTTTAATGGCATAATAAAAAATAGAATATATAATAAAATATTCTGATCGCTTTAATCTAATTTGAAAGATAATTATTATCGAGAGCATACTTTACTTATTTGAAACATATTTTGTATACAAAAAATTGAAATCAAAATTCCTGAGATAAGACATTTGGATTTCTAAATAAAATATTTTAAAATCAAAGCATTAAATAAAAAAAAAGCAACTCACTCTGCACATATTTCGGTAAATTTTTTACAGTCTCGTGCACTTACTAACGGTCGTAATTCAAATATTTTATTTCAATACCTTTTTTGTAATTTGAGTTGAACAAATAAT